CAGTGTGACACTTTGGTGAGACATATCTACATTCCTGCTAAACGAATGTAAGTTCAGCGTGCAAATAAATGTTTTGGATGCTTGCCTGTGATTGTCCTGTTTGTTATTCATTTGTTACTGCTTTTTTCAAGGCCTCTATCACTCACTGCATCTGTGTTCAGCAAAGATGCTTGCAACTATTCCAGTGTCAACCAGGAGCTTCATGTTTTCTGCTCCACAGGAAATAGTTACGTGAAATGGGGCAATTAAATGATATTCAGTTCAAAGGGCAGGTAGAAGTCACTGTGGGATGCTGATTCTTCCATAGTTCCCAGAGTTTTTCGTTTATGTCTGTCTCCAATGAGAAAAGACATGAGATTTGAAAGATTGTGTTCAGCAACCCCATTAGGGGTTGTTTTTGTTGTTGTTTGTTTTAAATCATGTAGTTATGTTAAAAATAAGGAATAAGTCCTGAGGAGGGTAGAAATCAGAAAAGCTATAGATTTTTCTCACCACTAACACATTCACATCTGTCTGCCAGTAGGAAGAAGTTATGAAAGAAAAACCTGATGAAGGATTACCATACCAGAATCACAACATAGACACAGATCTCTAGTATCTGAAATATATAATCATGTTATCATTGGGGTTAGTGTTCTGACAGCAATTCAGAGGCAATCAAGCCATTCAAAAAGTCAGTGGGTTGCAGTTATTTGCTTTGAAAATCCCCCAGCTGTTTGTCAGATCTGCCTGAGGATTGAAGCTAATTGGGGTTTCCCAGATATCCGTGACAGTATTCGATATTATTGGCACAGAGAGTGAACAGACGATTGCTTAGTTGTTGGAACATGAGGTTTACTGATTAAAAATGTATTTTCCCATGTGTTATGCATGACCTTGTGAGTAAAGTCCATCACTCCATGCACACTGACTCACTTTCAAATGAAGTACTTGTTAGCAAAATAGTCAGCAGGTTCAAGGCTAGCTCATTAGCCTCTACAAATTAGTGCTACTTTCCAGATTAAAAAACTGATTATTTTCCCTTCTAGTGACTGAAAGTCTATGGGAAACACAACTTCATGGTGGAGAACATTGAATCTCTCTGAAACTGTGGCATCACATTCACTGGTGAACACTGTGTGCCATTCTGGTTGATGAGGGAGTGGATTAAAAACTCCCACTGCTGTGACTGGATAACTAAAAATTGATGAAGATATAAGCCAAAAATTACATTAGTCTGGACTCACTATTTGCTTTACAGATAATTGATTCCTATTGCTGAAAGTCAAAACACTTCTTGTTCCAGGAGTCATCTGTCTTGTGAGCACTACAGACCTAAATGTTCCAATTCATTTACCTTGACTGATATGTACTAAGTGATGATCCAGTGAAGCAAAGGCAATATGTATGCAAAATCAGGTGGCTTATTCTATCCCATGCCAACTCCAACAGTTATTTCCACAGAATCAGAGAATCACAGAATTGTAAGGATTGGAAGGGACTTCTAGAGGTCATTAAGCCCAACCCCCTGCTAAAGGAGATCTCTACAGCAGCTCACACGAGTCGGCGTACAGATGGGTCTTAAATATCTCCAATGAAGGAAACTGGGCAACTTGTTCCAGTGCTCTGTCACCCACTCAGTACTTTCTCATGTTCAGATGGAACTTCCCATGTTGCACTTTGTGCCCATTGTCCCTTGTTCTGTCGCTGGGCACCACCTCAAAAATTTGTAATGGACACATTTAATTCAGTTTGGCTGAACAGTGCTTTAAGATGATTCTAATAGTGTAAGGTTTTGATTAGATTTTGATTTGATACTCCATGATACTCCATTCCAATCCATCATGCTATCTGACTGTTGCTTAAATTAAGAGAATGATGAATGGAAGAAGCTGTTCTGAGCTCTGGAAATGACAGAAAACTTGGACTAGAAGCAACCCCCAAAAAAATGCATGGAGTTCCATACACTCTAAGGAAATCATATTTCAGTCTCCCACTGGGTTCTTCACATTATATTTGACAGTGACAGCAAAGGGAAGGAGAAGAGAGGAATATCACTGATACAGCAAACAATTCTTATTTCTAACGATGTTCAAGTTTCCCTGAAAAGGAAACTTTTTTTCTTTGCTGTTCCATATTATGATTCCAGTTATTTTTAGGGCATACAAAGGTAAAAGTTAAGACTTTCCTTAATGTGTACAGCATGTTTCAAATGAAAACAGCAATAAATACTGTGACTGTGTGACTGCAATAATATCGTAGTTGAAATAATCCTAAATCTACTTCATTTGTTGCTCATATATTTTCCAGTGCTTTTTGTTTGAGTTACAGAGGTCATAGTAAATACCAATAAGATGTGTTTTTCAACACACTCTCAGATGAAATCAGAATGATTCAGTGGGTAATCTGTTTTGTAATGACTTAGAAGGGGAATTCCTAACTTATTTAGAATTTTGAAACCTATTTAGCAAGGTTCCTAAGGTGCTTCAGAAACAAAGGGCCAATATTTCCCTGGAGAGAAGTGATGATGAACTGCAGTTGAGGACTACACAGAACCAAACAGTGGATCTTCCAAATACCCCCATGAAATAACTGGGAGATAGCTCAAAGAAAGCAGAACAATAAAACCATTTTTTTACAGTGACAAAAATACTTTGTCTCCAAGTAGTAATGTGGAAACGGATTCCCTTAACTGCTCGCTGTTTTACTCATCTAAACAAGCAGCAGCTTGGACACAAAATACAGACATTAAATTATCTTGTCCACCTTAGTCTTCAGAGGTGTCATTTACCCCTGCCTGCATCCCTTTTTTGGGGCTGTCAGGCTGGCAGTTGTCTGGAACAGGCTGACAGTTGCATCTCAGAAGGTGATATTTGCTATCCTCACCTTTCTGAGTCACTGGATGTGCTCTGACTGCTGCCCTCAATATGTCTTCAGACATTAGGAAAGGGAGCAGGTTGGACAAGAAGCATCTCTGTGCACTGACCGTGTAAGCAAGACAGAAATATGAACTAAAAAGATGCTGAGAAAGCAGAATATATATATATATATATCTGCATGCACTTGTGCTGACTTCCAGCCAAATCCAAAGAGGCCTTTTTGGGTAGAACACATTGGGTGATGCACTCAAATGCACCAACAGGCAGCGGCAGGGTTGCTAGCCACTAGATCAGGCACTGGATCAGATCTCCTCTCTTTTACTTTAAAGCACTCCCTCCTCCAAATAAATATGAAGAAAAATTTCCATTGTAACTTTCTATTTGTAATTGAGTTATTCCTGTTCCTAACTTTTCTACATTTTGCTCCTGATTGAGATTCTAGAATCCAGTAAAAACTTTATTTTACTTTCTGTTGCATCCATATTTCCTTCACTTGCCAGTCTCATGTAAGCCTGTGCAAAGTAAACTTCCTTTCTTTTGGCAGCTTTTGTAGAGCACACAAAACAACCCCAAGTCATGTTCATGGTGTCCTTTTGGAGACTTGACTACAAAAGGAGGTAGATGCTGAAAGCTGAAAATTCTGGCTTAGGAAGAATCTTGGTGACACATTCCCTTTGTTCCAAAGGAAACCAATGCCAGTTTTACCATACTAAGTGATATTGGCATATTCATGCTGTTCATAATCACTCCATTTTCATAGTGGGATATTTACAGAGCAATCTAAATCATAATCCAGGGCTGTAAAAGGCTGCTTGTAGGTGCTCTGTAGCCACACGTTCCTTGTCATCTCAGAGCACACACCTAAAGAAAAAGTGTTCTGTGCACAAAAATGAACTCACTACTTGCCAAAGCCACTCCAGGAGCAGCAGTCCCAGAATTTCTGTAAGGATTTGCAGGTTACAGGTGAAGTAATTATTGCATTTCACTGCAGCCTGCAGCCTAAATTCCTCCAACCTAATTTTCACTGCATCCCTACACAAGGTGGGCTTTCGGCCCATCCTTTTCTGCTTGGAACTCCATGCTTAGTGGTGGTAACCAGTAAGGAAAGGAGAAGTTTGATCAGAACATGTGATAGGAGAACTGCAGAGGCATTGCACCACATCTCCTTTGCTCCATCCGTGCAAAGGAGACCTACTCCATGTTCATCAAGCTTCATGATTCGTGAAGCTTTAATGTCAGAAACTTTATTTTTATTTCACAGAATCACAGAAATACAAATGTTGGAAAAGACCTACAAATCATCCAGTCCAACCATCCACCTATCACCAATAGTTCTCACTAAACCATATCCCTCAACATAAAATCCAAACGTTCCGTGAACAACTTGAATTCAAAAGAAGGGAAAATCAGTATTTTCTGAGCTAGTTTCTCAGTTGTGGCCTGCAGGATTTAGCATCCTTCCCATGCAGCCCAGCCCCTTCTAATCCCACCACAGTGCATTCCCCTCATTTGTGTCCAGCTATAGGCAAAAGGTGCTGCTGCAGAATGAGGTTGACCACAACATTCATTTTCTCAGAAAATTGATTTCTACTCTGAGTATTATGCAAGGAGAGCAAGCCTTGAATACTCATGCTCAATCCCAGCTGTAATGATTGTCTGACATTAGTTTTTCTCTGGGATTTATTAGTAATAACAACAGCACATCCCAAGAAAACCTAAGAATGGGCATCTGACTCTAAATGTACCAATGCAGTGGTGGAACTCTTTAAAATGCCCCATGCTATTCCTGTAGAGGTGATAAAAAAACATGCAGGTTGATAAACACCTTTCAGCACATCCCTGAATGCAGCCAAATGCATGTTGGGTTCCTCAGTAGCTTGAAGGACTCCGACCCTCCGGGCAGGAGCAGGAGCTTCACTGCCTTTAAAGGCATTACCTCTCAGATAGAGCTGCTTTCCAGCCACTGAAATGAGGCAGCAATACTTGCCTGATTAAAGTCTACTTTGTGTTTGATTAAATCATTACTTCTAGGAGTGTTCCTTATCTTGCTTTTATAAACAACACAGGGTGGTAAATGCAGCTCATTCCCTGGGATTTTGTTCTGATAGTCGTCAGGTACTCTTACTTACTTGTTTTTTTTCAGTCTTATTCGTTTGTTCCTGCTATTTGTCTTCTCTTCTGTAAAAATGGCTTTAGCACTCAGAATCTTCTACTTGCAAAGGTAGACACCCAGCATTTATCATCAGATATGTATGTCATGTTGGTGAGACCAAATGATCCATTTGTAATACCTTTCTTTATCCTTTTCCTTTCAGAATGCTCATCTTGTCCTGTAGGAGGACATTCTCTGTAGGAGGAATGGAGTTTAAACAACTGAAAAATCAAAGAGTGAGTTTTCAGCTCCTATGGCTAATCTGCCCCCTTTGTTCAAGCCTGTATGATTTCAGAGCTACTGTAAATGAAATTCACTTAAATCAGTGTGTGACTTCTTAAAAAGTCTTTGGTTTTACATTACATAGCATTTAAGTGCTGCTTTCAGTCTTGTGCATGGAGATAAGAAAGGAAGTAGCACTTCAATTCCCAATCCTAGCTCAAAACATATTCAGGAAATTTTTTGCCTGAAGCTGTTGCTAATCCAAACAAGGTAATGTGTGATTGATACAAACAAAAGAGATAAGTGAGAACAATTGCTACATTATTGAAAGTAATTCAAAATCTGCGTGGCACTGCAATAAATCTCGGTGCATTTAGCAGATTTAATGATCTATCATAAAAGAAAACTCACTGTTATCACTGAAACTGCCGATATACTGAAAACAATGCATTTGTTTCCGTTTTGAAGAATGGAAGATGAGATTGAAGGTCACTTCAGAAGCACTTTGAGGTGGTTTCAGGTCAAAGATAGATCATGGAGAGGCCTGAAGCCCTGTCATAGCCAGTGGAGATCTGGGACAGGATTGTTTAAATGTAGAAACAATCAGTTATTCTGGGACAGAATGGGACATTTTACAAAGGGTCCAGATGTCTATATACAAAGAAAAAGGAGGAAGACAGAATGAAGAGTAGGTCCTTTATGTAGGAGAATATGAAGTCTGCCACTAAGATTTGTACACATCTGTACTCCACGGAGTATAAATAAATGTATTAATCAGGGAGGTCCCTCAGCCACATGGAAGTGCTGCACTCAGATCTATAACTACATGAAGTATTCCTTCTCTATACTTTGGCAACCCAAAATCAATTCTATGTATTCACTTGGGTGTATGGGTGAGTTTCCCAAGTGCCTCAGCATTCTAAGTGTCCACAGAAGTCTGGAAGCACTGCTCAAGTCATAATGAAATGTTGCCTCTCCCACTCTGGATTTGAATTAAAACTTCCATGCTCCACTCCTACGTCCTTTGAGTGGCTTCAAAGCACGGTTATGAACAGACATTCACAAACATCTACAGCTGTTCAACACATTTCTGCCCTCTTTGCCCATCCATTTGTGGCATGGGAATGGCAACCAAAGCTTACTGCTCCCTGTATCAGTAGATAGCTGAAAATCTAGAGATTAGTTTTAAAACTGCTGACAAAGGTGCATTGGAGTTAAGGTCTTTGGGACTTTGGACTGAATTGAATTCAGTGTTCATGCTTTTACTGCACTGACTCTGCTGCAGGAGTGTAGATATGGAGTTGGTAGCTTCCTAAGATACTCTGAATACAGTTCTGTACAGTTTCACAATTCACACTACACAGGTGTCTTCCATAGGGATCTGCAGCCACGTACCAGCATTAGTTTCTTTCAGATCTCTCAGAAGACCTACCTGTCCCTGAAGCCTGCAGATTGCTCAGATGTAATTGATCTATTTGTGTGCCTGAACTAAAGCAGTGTGATTAAGTAACATTTTCCAGTCCATTTAGAAAAAGAAAAAAATGTATTCCCATCTTCTAACTAACTGGAAACTTACATATGCTCCTGGATAAAATATTTGATTTGAACTGAAAACGAAATACTTCATTTTTGCAAGTCTTTTGTGATTTTACAAAAACACATTAAATTCCAAAATGAAAAGCCATTTTGCATTGAGGAGGGAGTATGACTCTGGTTTGAACAAACATTTCATTATTCTGGTTTCAGAGTTGTTTATTTTCCCTGATGAATGCAGCAAAGATGAAAAGAATATTTTTCAGTAGAATACTTTTCAATACTTCATTGACCATCTGACCGAATTTTTGGATTAAAGAAGAGAGTGGTAAAGTCTGAATGACTCACAACACTTTCACCAACTTCTGCCTGCAACTACTACTACTGTTCTTGCAGTTATGGAAGTTTACACTGATGTCTTAAAGAGAAGACTCAGTGGGGGAAGGTGAAAAGCTGAAATTGCTATGACTTCACATGTACTGGCATGTAGGTAATGAAGCACAGCAAACATCCGAGAGCCTGGCCAACATGCACGTGCTTGGAACAAAATTAGACCTTGCTCCACTGTAGATATTCACCACTAGCAGTAAAATCTACTCATGCTATTCCTGCTTGTACTACAAAATCCTAAACCTCTATGTATTTTGTTTGGATCGAGTGAAATTACTGCATAATTACTCAGTAGTCTTGAAATAATCTGCAGTAACAATTGCCTGTTCAACGCCTGCCTTGCAGACTCCTTCCTCAGTGATGTGCAATGACATTTACATAGTTGGAAAGTACAAAGCAAGGAATGCATGGGATGCAAATGAAGGGAGTAGGTGAAATTTGTTCATGCAATCCTTGTGCTGGTCTGGAAAACAGACTAGAACAAGTGAGAGATTTACATTGTGAAGGCTTTTGCTATTTAAAAACTTACTTTGTCAAATCAAAAGTAGTAAATTCTAATTATCAATTGCTCAGCCTTAACAGGAGGAGTAAGTCTTCCCTGCAGCTGTGGACTTGTACCTAGTCTCCTACTACAGATCATGTGAACTAGGTAACTAGTTTAGCAGCAGTAGAGTAACTCTCGCGTGGAATCATTCCCACGAACCATTCTCTTGAAAACCAAGGAACAGACTGCTGTTAAATGGCAAGGACTCTGAGAATGCCAATAGAATAAGTTTGCAGATTTATGAGAATCTTTAAGCATTCATTTTCCTGATGCAGAATCCAGTGCAGGCAACAGTAAGTCCTTGAAGTAGGTGTGAAGTTATGTTACTCTGTGGAAAAAAAAAAAAATATATGATTTTAAGCTGTAAAGACTGTTTGTACACTTTATAAAGTCTCATTTTTTACATAAACATGCATCATTCTGTCCTCTGAATAACTGTGTACTGTTTATTTTTTAGCAACAGTTGTGTGCTGAGAAAAAGTCTGTGGTGGGCCCCATCTAACTGTATGCTCTTTTTATTCCTCTAATCTCTTTATCCATTCTACACAGTGGGTGAGTAATAGGATGTTGTTACTTATTAATGAGTCAGAAATCTGTTCAGGAAAATTGGCTTTTTTTTTCTGTTTTCATGAGACTTTCACTGCAATTGCATGCAAACAAATTGGATGTTACATAAACTGCATTTTTTATGCCAAATACTTGTGAAGATTTAATCCAGAAAATGCATGATGGAAGAATATTCTAGCAGGTACAGGTGAAATGAATTTCTGATCTCCAGTTTCTTCTGTGTCTTTAGAGTGATCATTACACAGGGCATAGATCATAGAATCATAGAGTCATAGAATGGCCTGAGTTGAAAAGGACCACATTGATCATCTAGTTTCAACCTCCCTGCTATGTGCAGGGTCACCAGAGATGTATGAAGCAAGAAGCCTCTATCCAAATGACAACTGAAACAATCCCCTCTCTGCTGCCACTTAAATCTGGAGAGCCCCAAGCTTCCATATTTCAAATCTCTTGAATTCTGTACATTACAACCCTCTGCTTTCCCAATACCATTGCTGTATTAATGAAATTGTACCAGCTTCCAGTGTCAGCTCAGCCTTGCAACAAAACTCACCCTAAGGTGAGGGTGGACTCATGCATGAAGAGAGGTTCACTCTCTCAGAAAACAAACATTTCTGAAGCAGTAAGCAGAACTTCTGGATGGTGAGCTCAGTCTGGAGCCCCATTAGTTCAACATGAAGAGCTACCCTCCATTCTTTTAGCCAAGGTTACATCTTTTGGAAGAGAAAGAGCCCAAGACATGTTGGACCAGGCAGGGTGATCCACAAAGTAGGGTGTTGCTTTCTGGTTAGTGGTCACATCCCAGGAATCAGTTCCTTCCTTATATGCATCTTATATACTGTGGGAACAGGTCTAGAAACGTAGTGCCATTTATATCACTCATGAGCAATTTATCCTCTACATTAATGTCTATAAAATAAGAGAGTGGTACCAATGAGGCCACACTAGCTGTTAAACAAAGCAGACAAATGACCTCTTTCCATTGCAGTTCTCTAACTTACTATAGAGAATATCAATTTCTCTTTTAATAAGCTGTGAGGCGAGTATTTCTCCGTTGACTAGAAAGTAACACCAAGGTGATGAACCTGAACCAGAATTTTTTAGCTTTTAAGATAAATCCCATCCCAATAGCTCCAGTGCAGAGATCATTGTACTCCTTCCTGGAAAGGTAAAATGTGAACATATGACATATGAATGGGTAAGGGAGTTAATTTCAGGCCCTTCAAGGACCTGATAAGTTCTGGGCCATCTGTTTTTAATGTCTTCGTTTACTGAGAAATTATCATGTTCCAAACATGTTATAGAAAATGCTGAAACTAATTTAGAGCTTTTTTGGCAGGATGCTTTTCCTGTGTTAAAGTTTATTTCATAGATAAAAACTGTGCTGTTGTTGCTGTTGTCCTTATAATGTTTTTAAATATTTAAACAAGAACTTGCATAAATATGATTTATTTTCTAGGTTTATCCTCTGCTGTCATTAGAGATGTGTGTTGTACTTACAGAGAATGAGGAACTATTACTATCACTTCTACAAAGAATATAAACATTGATAGGGGTGTGAGTGGCTAGTATCACTTATTTAGAGATGAAATATGTTCACAAGCCGAGCTATACTCAGTCACAGAAAATTTAAAAGCAATGATCTTGGAGGATCAAGGTGAAGGTGAAGACCTTGAGTAGGGTAGAAAAGCAAAAATAACAAGGCAACTTATTAACAAGAAAAACTTGGAAGTTAGCACAAGAGTTGTGCTCAAAGGTAAAATCCAGCTAATGAAATACTCCATCTATTTTTGCCACTAGTAAATAGCACGATGATGGAATACTGCTGATATAGTTTGGAGATCTACAGAGATGAGAGACTCATTATAGATGATGGCAATAAGAGACAATCTTCTGCTCGAAAGCATATGGTATAAAGAGTCAGAGTAGAAAAGGAAAGAAGGACAAAGAGAAATATCTCTTACAGTCACCTCAAAAATCATAACAACAAAGAGAATGAGTTCTTCTCTAGCCTTTCAGATTCAAGAGCATATAAGTTGTCCATTTTGCTAGCTAAGCTCCTAGGTGGGGTATCATTAGAATATGTTTCCTTATGCTGTGTGGCAATCAGATGGCCAAGCTTAGATTTGTAAGGGAAGAGATGCAGTTTCTCTACTAGGGATATTTTCCATGTCTTTGGAGTTAGAATAAAATGCAAGATTGGCCCCTACAGTGTGTTTCCCCAACTCCAATATGTTTTATTAAGAGTTTAAGAACAGAGTCCTTTGGGAAAAAGACTTTCATCTTACCTCAAGCATTCAGATTTCTGTGTTTTCCTTCTTTCTTAGGCATTTTAATTCAAATTTATTATACCACCCGCCTCACCTGCATACTCTGAAATTCGTTCAGCCTGTACCCACAATAGATTTTGCTTTTCAGTGTTTTTTCAGTATCCAAAGTTTAAAAGCATTTCAAATTTTATAACTGTAATCATTCTGTAATAATAACAAAAAAATCTTGTCAAAACTGGAATTTTTCTGCTGGAAAATATCAGGCAGGCTAGTTGAAGAATTTCAGAAGTGTGAAACTGATAGAAGGTGGAGATTTTCAATGCTTGACACATTGTTTAGAATAATATCCATTTTGGCAAACCAATGTTTATTTTAAATCAAACAGTCTGCACTGGATATCTTTCACATGGTTATAATTAAAACTGTTCCCAAAGACTCAGTACAACTAATCACTGTTTTCTTGTACCCACGCCAAGGAGAAAGTAGTGTTTGGGGGACACACCGTGTGGATCATCCCAAAATCTTGTGGACAAAACTAATGTCAATCATGTTTTATTGTCTACACATGTGGCAAGATCTACAGATTAATGAGTTCTCCTTCTGAAAATAAGACCATGCCATGTTTGAATTAGACAGCCAGTGCTCAGTCCTGGATAACATAAATGCTTTTGCAAGAAACTTTTTGTGAGCATGTGAGGTACTCAAAAATCCGGTGCTGAAGCCACTGCTTCAGACCTTCAGGGAAATTTGAGACAAAGCATCTTGATTTCCTGCCCGAGGACAAGTAACTCCAAATTTATGAGTTTCTCCCAAGCCTTAACATATCCAAGAGCTGTATAAGCATTTTCATTTAAAATATATTTAGTGTTATCAAATATAATTTTACTGAAATAACAGGCAGCGAGGCTGTTGTTTATTATTATTTTTATTTTTAATGAAGCAGAACATACATCAACTGGAAATAGCTTAATTCACTGAGGATTTGTTACAGCCTAAGTCTGAAACAAGCTCTGCAGGGCCATTCCTTAGGCTGCTGTTTCTCAGAAGTGGTGAACTATAGACCTCAGGGGATAAGATCACAGGGAGTAAGGGAAAAGAAACAAGCACAATTCCTGGTAGTAGCAAATTAGCCATATGCCTGGTTACAGAGGAAAATCTTCCATATTCCTTATGCTGCAGGTCAGCTTGCTGTCAAATTTCCCTCCTAGGAGCTTGAAAACAAAATCAGGAAAAAAAAAACCAAAACCAACAGAGTTTATTGATTGTGAATAGAAATTATTTTTTCTTCAGTGAGGAAAAAAAAATGTATTTTAGTCATTTCTTTGCATTCTTGATCACAGTGTGGAATTCTGCCAAATTAGAGGTCATTAGACTAAATAGATGTTCTGTTCCCACCTACTTATCTGTCATATCTGATAGGGAGAAATTACATAGGATGAGGAGACTCATCTACGTCATGGTCTGCTGAACAGCATGATCTCAGACATTTACAGCACAGTGCAAAGATTAGATGTACAAATGCTGAACAAATATTTGTTAGCAATAGGAATACTTTCTGGAGGAAACAATCTCCTTGGTCTTATGTTTGTACTGGTGTGGTCTGACAGGTAACCTTGTCTCAGTGTAAGAAATAAAAGCTATTTTTAAGGTGCATTGAGTTCAGGAGCAACCATTCAGCTCTGGCATGCAAGTGTTACCCTGTAGTATTTTACTTACTCCTATTTACTCAGACTTCTGCAAGTTTCATATAACGGCCCAAAGAACCAGTAAGTTCCAATTAAGAATTTAAATTGCTCATAATGTTTATTTATACAATCATCATAAACCTCTGGAAGTGACCTGATCCAGCACTCTGCTCAGAGCAAGGTCAATTTAGGCTGTGAGCAGCTAGTTTCCAAGTATCTCCAAGAAGGGAGGTTTCCAATTCTCGGACTGGCTTCACAGTGAGAAGTCTTTTACTCAAAAAACAAAGCTTTCCTTTGTCATAACTTCTCTCTGTTGCCTTTCATCTTGTCACTATGGATGTCTGAGGAGATCTGGCCTCTGTCTTCTTCATGTCCCTCATTACTTGCTGGAGTCACTAAAAGAAGGTCAGCATAGGGAAGGAGAGTGTGCGTCCTTAAAAGCACAAACCCTTGCTGAGAGTACAGTGCTCTGAAGTTCCTTATCTGAATAGTTTCTTTGTTCAGCTAAGAAAAATGTTTTACCATGTTTTACCATGTTTTAATCCCACTGACTGATCATCCATTT